GTGGGGGGTTGTGCGATTCACCAGTTTACTATGAAGTACTAATGGATATGTTCAAAAATTTATCAAAAATGATCACATTTATTCTTGGTACCTGCCTACAACAGCATTTTGGCTATTGTGTGTGTGTGTGTTCAGAACATGTACCTGTATAATTCACAGATGAGGCTGAAAAGTGCTGCAGGTTTTGAGGCAGCCATTGTTTGATTGTCGTGACTTAAGGAGAGTGTTGATTTTTCTGTAGTTCAGTTTATTTAGATGAATAAGTTGGAGGTTATTTGAGTGAATTTGGAAGGAGCGATTGTGCATGCTTTGTATCTTGGTTTTTACAAAATAAAATACACGCCCACACACACACACACACACACACACAAACACATTCTGTGACTCAAATCTTCAGGCCAATAAAGAAAAGCTTCTGAACACCATTAAATATCTCGTCGCTGTTTAATGCATCTGTTTGTCTCTTGATACCCCCTTTGATCTTTTCTAGATCACCTTATCATTCTTCCTGTCTGTTTGACTCTCGTTCACCCCGGATCTCTCTCTCTCTTACTCCCACTGTCAGTCAGATGTAAGCTTGTGTTGTCGGAGGAAGGGGAGGCCAGCGAGATTAAACTGGAGCTTTTGGCTTTGACACATTCCATCTGATCTTAACCACACTAAATCAACTGGGGAATGTACTCAGGCCTGCCAGTCAACCACTTTAAACACACACACAAACAATTAATTATAAAAGCTTCAGTCTGAATCGATGATCTCTTATTTTAAGACCTCAATTTTCTTTCCATTGTCACTAATTGCATTGTAACTAATGTCACTAATAATTTTTAATTATTAATAAATAATTATTTTCATTATTTTATACAGGCCTCAGAGGTATTCATTTCCTTTTTTGTCTGTTTTATTAAGAACATTTTTTATTTTACAGGTCAATTTGTATGTTTTAAGGGCATTAATGTTATATTTATTTATTTACGGTAACACTTTAGTATAGGGACCAATTCTCATTGTAGTTGCATATTAGCATGCCTATTATTACCATATTGGCTGTTTATTAGTACTTATAAAGCACATATTCTGCATGACCATATTCTACATCCCCAATCCTACCCAATACCTAAACTTAACAACTACCTTACTAACTATTAATAAGAAGCAAATTAAGAGTTTTGAGGCAAAAGTCATAGTGAATGGTTGGTTTGCAAGAATTGAACCTTAAAATAAAGTGTGACCATTTTTACATAATCTTTTTTGCATGCTTTTAGCAATTTAATTTTCTATTTTTTGTCTTTCTTTCATTCTTCTTTGCATGTTTTGAAAGTTTGAATTTTCTTTCCTTTGATGTTGCTTTAATTGTTTTGTTTTTTTTGCATATTTTAATGACATTAGTATTTTTATTTATGTTTTTCCATCTTAAACTTTTTATTTTGTATGATTTAAAGGAGTTAATTTTCATTTTTTTTATAGCATTATAATAATATTAGATTTCTAGATTTTTATTTTTGCATGATTTTTTTTTTTTTTTTAATGGAGTATATTAATTTATTAGCATTTAAAAAAAATGTAACTATACAAGGCTTTGTAAATTCTTTGCATAATTTAAAAGTTTGAGTTATCTTGCTTTTTATGTTCCTTTAATTGTTTGTTTGTTTCTACTACAATCTAATATTTCCTTATTTTCTTGTGTTTTTACAGTCAGTTTAATTGGAGCAGATTTGCAACTGGAGTCTCAGTAGAGTCTCAGGAGACCGCCCCACCCCGTCATGAATCATTTAACAGATTTGCCCCTGACCATTATGTGAGAACACTTTGATATTCAAGCTTAAACTGTATAACTGCTAACTTGCCATCTTTGTCTCCTAAACGAATCCCTGTACGGCAGTATCACTGCATGAACATCCACATCACAGTTCAATCCCAACCTGCTCGGGTCGAGGGCTCTAATGAGAAAACAAGAATGAAAGGATCAGAGGGAAAGAGGAAAGGAGGTGCAGAGGTCAATCAGGAGAGCAGCAGATCAGGTCAGCAGATCACAATCTCTCTGAATAATGGAATTCCACAATTCAAAGGAGTTAATGGAACAGGAAATAAAGCCATGATCTGATTACAGTTCAAACACTCTTCCTACTTTTTAAAATTCAGCCGGAACTCAAAGCATCAAATATAATTATAGACTGACCGATTGAGATCTCGACTAGTAATATGATCATGGGAAGATGGGAAGTAGGTAGTCCAAATTTCATAAAATCATAAAAAACTCTACTATGGACAGTCAATTAATTTCTGA